CATGGCTGAGTAATAGTCCGTATATACACCACACCTTCTTTATCTATTCATCTATGGATAGACACTTGGGGTGCTTCCATATCTTGGATATTGTAAATAATGCTGCAATAAACATAGAGGTACATATATCTTTCCAAATTAGTGTTTTCATTTTCTTGGGGTAAATACCTATAGTGGAATTACTGGATCATATGGTATTTCTATTTTTAATCTCAATAATCATCAGGGAAATGCAAATCAAAACCACAATAAGATATCACCTTACACCTGTCAGAATGGTCTAAGACGGGGCAACTGGGTGGCTCAGTTGGGTAGGCGACTGCCATCAGCTCAGGTCATGATCCTAGAGTCCTGGGATCGAGTTCCACATCAGGCTCCCTGCTCAGCGGGGAGTCTGCTTCTCCCTCTGACCCTACCCCTTCTCATGCTCTCTCTCTCTCTCAAATAAATAAATAAAAATCTTAAAAAAAAAAAAAAAGAATGGTGTAAGACAAGAAAAAAAAAATGTTGGCAAGAATGTAGAGAAAAAGGAATTCTCATGCACTGTTGGTGGGAATGCAAACTGGTACAACCACTCTGGAAAACAATATGGAGGTTTCTCAAAAAATCAAAAATAGAATTCATAAATGTTTTCTGAACTTAATGGATCAAAACTGAATTCTTGCTATGATTATTATGATACTACTCTCGGCTGGAGAAAATTGTCTTGTTTATTGTTGTGCCTTTTCAAATTCTAGCTGCTTGCTCTTCTACTCTCATCTCTTTGAAGTTTTGTCCTACTATTCTGTCTACACTGATCTCTCTCTCTCTCTCTCTTTATTTGGAGCAGGTGGACTCCTAGGACACTTTTTTTTTTCTGTAATTACTCTATAATACTTTATATTTTTAATCTTACATAATTTAGATATATCTTTACTTCAATCTAACAAGAGATGAATGGATGGGACATTACTGCAAATTAAGTAGTTATGCAATGAACTAAAGGAATACAAAAATCAAATGGCAAAATTACAAATATTAAACAGAATTTGAGATAAGATTTCCTCAGAGAGAAGAGTTTTTACAATGTACCTCTCATGTGCTGTAGAAATGGGTGATTTATATGACTCACATGTTATATTTTACGAGCATCTGTTTATGTTTTAGTTCCAGTGACTTTACTAAAACTACAGAAAAATGTGATACACAAATGATTCCTATGATAAATGTAGAAAAAAATCCTATTTAATATTCATAAAAGTAATTATACTTTCTCTAAAAGTTTTCAGAATTGACCTAATTTTGTTAAGATGAAATCTTTACAGAAGTAGTGCCATTTTCTAAAGGTTTCTTTTCTTTTTTTTACCAAACATTAAAATATCTTTTGATAGTGTAAGTTGAATTTTTCTAGTATTAGAAAAGTCTAGGTTCAGGGCGCCTGGGTGGCTCAGTTGGTTAAGCGACTGCCTTCGGCTCAGGTCATGATCCTGGAGTCCCTGGATCGAGTCCCGCATCGGGCTCCCTGCTCGGCAGGGTGCCTGCTTCTGCCTCTGACCCTCCCCCCTCTCATGTGCTCTCTCTGTCTCAAATAAATAAATAAAATCTTTAAAAAAAAAAGAAAAGTCTAGGTTCAATTGCTTTTAAATCACTTATATAAGTCCAATGAGAGAAAATCTTTTAATAAAACTATTTCCTCCATTTCCATTAATTTTGTTACTTTTCTATTTTCCTTTTGTCTGAAATATGTGAATCTGGAATGAACTAGATCACAGTTTAGTTGGTTTTGGACTTGTTAGGACATTTGTATTATATATTTTTAAATGTCTTGAATATATATGCCTTCCAAGGCTCTATTTCCAAAAATTCACTCTCTTCCTTAGACTCACATGCACTAGTTCCCAAAATTTCACTCTCTTCCTTAGACTCACATGCACTAGTTCCCAAAATTTCAACATGATGCTACCAAAGAGGGGCAGAGTTTGCTTGAGACTCAGTGCTCAAATGTCACTTCTTTATCCTCATCAAGCAGTTATTACTCTGGGCATATTGCTGCCCATGTAAGACTCTGTGTTAGGGAGACTCCAGGGATATATAGTTATAAGCTATGGTTCCTGCTCCATAGAGCAGGGAAAAAGTGAAACGGTGATTTGTAGTCCAGTAAAAAGTGCTGCAGGAGTTCCATGGAGGAAGTGATTACATGGTTTTTATGAGGGGGAATTGGAATGGTGCTCAGTGGTAGGGTCTAGATGAGCAGAGCGGGAGGAGACACATCTGGGGAGAAAAATAAGCTTACAGACATCCTGGAATAAGTGTGCTGCAGTCAAGAGCTAAACAACAAGCCCTTTGGTTTGGGGTAAAGCTAGAGCATAGGAGACAGGTGAGAAAAACACAGCCAGGGCCAGATCATGGAGGCATTAAGCACACACTCTTGGCGTCTGGACTTTATTCTTGGACAATGAGGAGTCACTTTGGCTGAGAAGAGGCACGTACAACATGGCATTTCAGATTGGAAGTTTATGGGGCTGAGCCGCATACAGTGTATGGGACAAGGGGACATTGGGAGCAGAAGGTTCCACAGGAGATTATTTTGCAATAGTATAGAGAGTCAGAACTGAATAGAAGTAGAGAAATGAGAAGGAAGGAGTAGGCTACAAGAGACATAGCAAAAGAGAAATCCACTGGCCTAGCTGACTGACTCAGTATTGGGGGAGAGAGAAAAAGAGCTAAGGGCCCTACTTCTCAAGCCTCTTTTGGACTCTTCCTCCTATTAGACATCAATTAATTTGGCTTTTGAGGACTAACATCTCCTTGCTTTCCTGTGGACTCACCCCCAGTCACTTCACTGATGGGTGCAATCCAGTCCTTGCAATCCCTTCCCTCAGGAATCTAGAATTAGGCCTGACAACTAGAGAGTGGTCTCTCTCTGAGGTGTTGGCTGTGTCCATTTTCTTCCATGTGAACTGGGAAGCTAAAAATGCTGCTTTACAGTAAGAGAAGAAAAGGAAACAGAAGTTAAAAAAAAAAAATGAGAGATGGAGAATAAAAGCTAGGTCTGGGTTCCCTGGTGTACTTTAGTCTGTGCTTTCATGTGTCCCTAAAATATAACTGCATCCCTCCTCTTTAATTCTGTAGGACATCCTTATATTGCAGTAATACATTCCCTCCTTTGATTAAGCTAGCTTGGCAGGGTTATTGTTACTTGCAGCCAAAATGGTCCAAACTGATATATTCCTCAGCACGAACTCTCCGTTTTCAGTCACTTGGTGCTCTGGCTACTCTCTGAACACTTGAACACTTTGCTAACTCCACATGTTCATGCCACTTCCTTCATCTAGAATGCCTTCCCCTTCCCAATCCTGCTGACTCTGCCTATATAAATCCCAACTATCCTTCCTTTCTTCTAGCCCTCTTTACTAAGTACTTTTTGAGTGAGTCCATAATACCGTAAATTGTAATGCTACATTTTCCCCCTCCGGGTCCCTGATTTTTTAGTGACCTTATTGGAACAATTAAAATGATGTAAAAGAGGGTAGAAGGTGATGGATAGTAGCACAATATCAGGAAATTTATGCTCTCACATATACAAATTAAAAAAAAAAAATCCAAAAGACGATGGTCTACTTGGCTACTAAAAAACCTTTGACTCTACAATGGGTTCAAAGAGGTACAGTAGGCCATTTGGCCAAAGCAGATATTTTACATAAGGAAGTATATCATTTAGGAGTATTAGATGAAAAAAAATAAAAACAGCCTCTAAACAAGTAATGCATCATGCATTATTGCATTAGTGTTACAAATTTGATTTTATGAATATCCAGAAGAGGTCTTATATCAAGTAAGAGACAGATATGGAACCCACCATGCTTTCTTACTTTCTCCACTATGCTAAACTAGCCCACAGAAAATAAAAAAGAAATACATCAATTTTTAGATGACACAAACATTCAATTTTATATAATTTTTTAAAATGATAACATATTTTAAATTGTTATCCACTGAAATAGCAATATACTCTAGGAACCATCTTGAACCTAATGCCTGGGCTATATTATATAGCAAAAAACTAAATCAAAACAAAGCAAAACAAAAACCAAACTGTTATTCTCCTTTAAGATACTACAGAGTATCTATCACCTATAAAGGCCTTTCTTTCCTCTAGAAATGAGAAAACCAATCTGCTATCTTGTGAAATCTCACATAAATTTGGAACACAATGGTGTTTACCTTCCCTTCAGCAACTGTGGCCTTTGTTCTGGTAACTTATAATGCCTCAAAGGGGAAAACCCCAAACTGCCTTCTAAAACCAATAAGAAAATGTCTAGCCGATGAATGTACATTTAATGAGCAAGATAAAGTGCCAAGAAATAGTTAATGTTTCTTTCAGCCTCATACAAAGGAACATTCCTCCATTTTGGGGCCCTAGGACCCCAAAGCATTCACAGCAGATTACACAAGTAGCGCTGGTTAGTGGAATGCTATTGTGCAAACAGTCTGTTGCTGAGCAGGGCAGAAATATCTTTACATGAAAATGGAATGATCTTTAGTGAGTCCTGAAAGAAAGTGATAATTTCCATAACCAGAAAAAGCGTTTTACATCATTCCATTTCAACTTGCCATAAAACCCTCGGTTGCTTTGGCAATTGCTTATCCCTGCTTTGCTGGCTTTATATCATCCTCATCTCTGCGGCTTTTCATTTACTAAATAACAGGGCTTTTTGTTGTTGTTTTGCCTTGTTTTGAAGCCTTGGCAGAAAACACCACCATTCTGTACGCTTTCTCAGCACCCACCTTGCAATGTTCATACAATGAATTTTTGGTGCTCCTTTTATAAAAGCCCAGTTGGCATATCCTCCCAGTAAAACTGCTGAAACCGTGATCAGAGAAGACCCCATCAATAGTAACTGTAAACTACGCACTTCTCTTGCTTTATGGAGCTTTTCACTGTCCATACACTGTTTGTTATACTGGTAACAAAGCATAGAGCGGCTTTAGTGACAGAAGGGAGATACAAAAACACTTACCTGCATTACAATAAGGAGGTCAAAGACCAAGATAAAAGAAGCCAGGAATGCTCTGGAAACTTCATCACTGGGCAAAAAACCCCGATTCAGCTTGTCCCAGCTGATCCAGTCAGTTGTAATGACAAGTACAACCATGGAAGTCAGAGTAAAGAGAACTGTCCTGCAAGGAACAAGATATTCATTAAAGAACATTAGATGTAATAATATAGACAGTGAAGACTGCCTGTTACCTGTGCTGTCTTCAATGCCTACCCTTTGCCAAGGCATATTCACCAAAATGAAGACGAACAAAGAAGTAAATGAAGTGCTTTCTTCCAAAAGCAATTTTAAAAAGGTATAATAGCATCCATCCCAAGATTTCCCCTTAAGAACATTAAGATAATGATTATAGAACAAATAATTAACAACAAAAATATTACAAATGGCCTTGGCTAGTGCAATACGTGTCCCAAAGAGAACACTGGTGTGTAGCTCTCATTACATGTGCATCATTTACTGAGGGTAGTAGACATGCATATTTGTAAGAGCATAAGGCAGATGGTGAGTGATGAACAAGTCTTTGGATTCTATTATTGTCCTATAAAAGAGAGGGATAGTTAGACCAATCCCATCATCATCCTCATAGCCTGAGGAGCTCCATGGAAGAACCACCTCTACACTCCAACTGTGTAGCCATTTCTCCTCATAGGACTTGTGTCATAGATGGCTTGTGGCCTAGTGACCTGTCTAGGCCACACCATATTTGATTACCCATTCCTTGTTGTAAGACACTAGGGGCCTAACCTTATCTCTTATCTTTATAACCCCCATAAAATCTTACATAATTGTATCAGATGGAATTCAATGAATGTTTGTAGAAGTTGTAACAATTAAGCTTTTGATAAAAATCAAGAGTCCTTAGTCTTTCTTTTTTATTTTTTTAAAGATTTTATTTATTTATTTGATAGAGAGAGCACAAGCAGGGGGAACAGCAGGCAGAGGGAGAGGGAGAAACAGGCTCCCTGCTGAGCAGGGAGCCTGACGTGGGGCTGGATCCCAGAACCCTGGGATGATGACCTGAGCCAACCTGAGCCGAAGACAGATGCTTAACCAACTGAGCCACCCAGCAACCCTTAAATTAGTCTTTAATATTGACATTCAAAGTAAATCTGAAATGTGGGTGGCAAAAATTTAATCTGCCAGAGAATTGTCTATAATGTAATTAAGCCTCTGCTTTCAGAGCTATATTGGTATCTGGATATCATTTTGAATTGTAAAAAGGAGTCTACAGCTATACCACCCTGAATGCACCTGATCTCCTTTGAATTGTAAAAAGGAAAATAAAAAAGAGTAATTATTTTGAAAATAATCTTAATCGAAAGAAAGAAAAGGAAGAAAAAGGGAAATAAAGAACAAAAAAGAGAAAAGAAAAGAAAAATGGAAAAAAATATATGGAGGTGAAATAATACCTTAGAAGAACACATACCCGTTTTGGCAATTAACAAACTGTTTTTGCCCTCTGATATCTGATAATAATTGATACAAAAAAAGAATAATATGGACCATCCTAGACCACCTCTTTTCAGTTGAACAAAGCACAGATTTCTAAACCTATACACTGGGTTTGCTTTTCACAACTTCTTATTTGTAACAAGTTATACTTTGATAGAATGAATATAATGAACCCTCCCCTTAGATTTCCCACCCCCATAAATAGTAAAGATATATTTAAAATTTTTTTGAAAAATAAAAATTTCTGGGCGCCTGGGTGGCTCAGTCGGTTAAGCGACTGCTTTCGGCTCAGGTCATGATTCTGGAGTCCCGGGATCGAGTCCCGCATCGGGGTCCCTGCTCGGCAGGGAGTCTGCTTCTCCCTCTGACCCTCCTCCCTCTCATGCTCTCTGTCTCTCATTCTCTTTCTCGCAAATAAATAAAAAAATCTTAAAAAAAAAAGAAAGAAAAATAAAAATTTCTAATAAAATTAACTTATGCAAACTATCAAAAGAATTTCACTCATGATCTCCAAAATATAAATTACAGATTGTCTCTATTACCATTTAGAATACCTTTGATCATTTCCAGAAATTTAAATGGGTTAATTAAGCATGGGAGAAATCTTAAATAACTATTATAATTCAGTAGAAAGAAATAGCAAATATTATATGGTCAGGCATAAGAATAATGGGATTTTAAACGAATCTCTCTCCAGGTTAAGTCAATTTGTTTGTATTTTTTGGTTTTTTCTCTTAAGCAAGTACAAAGTTTATATATTTCATGAAATAAGATATCCTTGGATATCATATTGGCCCAATAGTTATCAGTCAGAACAATGCTCCTTTTATCTTCCTTCTCCTCTATCTTTAATATGACTTTCACCCTTATCAGGATGAGATGCCTTCTCTATCACCAGAATTTCATCCAAGGGCCAGGCATTATGACAGGAATAAGTGCCAAAAAGGCATTCTAGTTGGATCTGCCTTTTTTTTTTTTTTTTTAATTCCAGTACAGCTACTATACAGGGTTATATTAGTTTCAGGTGTACATTATAATGATTCAACAATTCTATACATTATGCAGTGCTCATCATAAATGTCCTCTTAATCCCCTTCACCTATTTCATCCATCCCCCACCCATCTCCCCTCTGTTAACTATCAGTTTGTTCTCTATAGTTTGTGGTCTATTTTTTGGTTTGTCTCTTTTTTATTTTATTTATTTGTTTTGTTTTTAAAATTCCACATGAGTGAAATCATATGGTATTTTTCTTATTCTGACTGACTTATTTCATTTAGCATTATACTTTCTATATCCATACATGCTATTTCTAATGGCAAGGTTTCATTTTTTATGACTATGTTCCAGTGTGTGTGTGTGTGTGTGTGTGTGTGTGTGCGCGCGCGCATCACCTCTGCTTTATCCATTCATCAATCAGTGGACACTTAGGTTGCTTCCTCAATTTGGCTATTATAAATAATGCTACAATAAACATAGAGATGCACGTATCTTTTGGAATTAGTGTTTTTGTATTCTCAGGGTAAATACCCAGTAATGTAATTACTGGATCGTATGGTAATTCTATTTTTAATTTTTTGAGGAAGGTCCATCCTGTTTTCCATGTTCACTGTATCAGTTTTCATTCCCACCAACAGTGAACCAGGGTTCCTTTGTCTCCATATCCTCACCAACATTTGTTGTTTCTTGAATTTTGATTTTAGCCATTCTGACAGGAATGAGGTGATATCCCACTGTGGTTTTGATTTGCATTTCCCTGATGATGAGTGATGTTGAGCATCTCTCCATGTGTCTGTTGGCCATCTGGATGTCTTCTTTGGAGAAATGTCTATTCATTTCTTCTGCCCATTTTTTAATTAGATTATTTGGGGTTTTTTGGTGTTGAATTGTATCAGTTCTTTATATGTTCTGGATACTAACCCGTTATCAGATATGTCATTTGCAAATATCTTCTCCCATTCAATAGGTTGTCTTTTAGTTTTGTTGATTGTTTCCTTTGTTGTGCAGAAGCTTTTTATTTTGATGTAGTCCCAATAGTATATTTTTGCTTTTGTTTTCCTTGCCTCAGGAGACATATCTAGAAAAATGTTGCTATAGTCAATGTCAGAGAAGTTACTGCCTGTGCGCTCTTCTGGAATTTTTATGGTTTCAGGTCTCACATGTAGGTCTTTAATCCATTTTGAGTTTATTTTTGTATATAGTGTAAGAAAGTGGTCCAGTTTCATTCTTTTGCATGTAGCTGTCCAGTTTTCCCAACAGCATTTGTTGAAGAGACTGTCTTTTTCCCATTGCATATTCTTGCCTCCTTTGTCCAAAATTAATTGACCACATAATCTTGTGTTTATTTCTGGGCTTTCCATTCTGTTCCATTGATTTATGTGTCATTTTTGTGCCAGTACCATACTATTTTGATTACTATAGTGTTGTAGTGTATCTTGATATCTGGGATTGTGATACCTCCATTTTGTTCTTCTACAAGCTTGTTTTGGCTATTTGGGGTCTTTTGTAGTTCCATACTAATTTTAGGATTCTTTGTTCTAGTTCTGTGAAAAATTCTGTTACTATTTTGATAGGGATTGCATTAAATCTGTAGATTGCCTTGGGTAGTGTGGCCATTTTAACAATATTTGTTTTTACAATCCATGAGCATGGACTATCTTTCTATTTCTTGTGTTCTCTTCAATTACTTTTTTCAGTGTTTTATAGTTTTCAGAGTATAGGTCTTTGACTTCCTTGGTTAAGTTTATTCCTAGGTATTTTATTTTTTTGGTGCAATTGTAAATAAGATTTTCTTAATTTCCTTTTTGCCTCTTCACTGTTAGTATAAAAAATGGAAAAAATTTCTGTATATTGATTTTGTATCCTGTGAGCTTACTGAATTCATTTATCTGTTCTGGTAGTGTTTTGGTGGAGTTATTAGGGTTTTCTACATATAGTATCATGTCATCTGCAAATAGTGAAAGTTTTACTTTCTTTCTTTCTTTTTTTTTTTTTTTAAAGATTTTATTTATTTATTTGAGAGAGAGCACATGAGAGGGGGGAGGGTCAGAGGGAGAAGCAGACTCCCTGCCGAGCAGGGAGCCCGATGCGGGACTCCAGGATCATGACCTGAGCCGAAGGCAGTCGCTTAACCAACTGAGCCACCCAGGCGCCCGAAAGTTTTACTTTTATTTGCATGATAAATCCTTTTCTTCTCCTCATTTTCAATCTGCATGTGCCTTTAGGTCTGAAGTGTCTTTTGTAGGCAGCTTATGGATAGTTTTTGCTTTTTTATCCATTCCATTACCTATGTCTTTTGTTTAGAACATTTAGGCTATTTACATTCAAAGTAACTATTGATGGGTATGTACTTATTGCCATTTTATTACTTGTTTTATGGGGGTTTTTTGTACTTCTCCTCTGTTCCTTTCTTCTCTTGTTTTCTTCTCTCACAGTTTGCTGGCTCTTTTTAGTGATATACTTAGATTCCTTTCTCTTCATTTTTTGCGTGTCTATTACTATTGTTTTTTAAAATTTGTGGTTACCATTAGGTTTATATACAACATCTTATGCATATAGCAGCCTATATTAAGTTGAAGGTCACTTAAATTTGAAGTCATTCTTTACTCCTCTCCCCTCCATGTTTAGGTATATGGTGTCATACTTTACATCCTTTTATTTTTGAGTCCCTT